TCTTACATGGGAGGCATAGGTAGGAAGGAGGCTAGCCCAGGGCAAAAAGTATGAGAGCCTATAAGAAATGGGGGCATGGCTCAAGTGGCAGGAAGCCTGCCTATAAAGCATGAAGTCCTGAGTGAAAGTACAAAACCAAACAAGGAACTAAATGTTCTTTGCTTTTATAATAGAAATTAGTTTCCTCAAAAGTCCTTTTGGTGATTCTTTACTAATATGGATCAGCTATACTTTAGCCTCTAACGCAATACTGAGGTTTGGATGATGAGCAGCAAAGGACTTGCAAGAAGTGAGCCTTCTATGGGCTGGAGGGGGAGGCTCAGTGGTAGAGCATCTGCTCAGCAAGCGTGAATGCCTGACCTCAAACCCCAGTACTGCAAAAAAAAAAAAAAGGAGCCTCCTATTGGATCAGTTTCTTCTTAGAAAGTAGTGAAAATAATGTATCAGTTATTGGCTTAGACTTTACAGTGGTATTCAATTGCCAAACATAAGACAATAAGTAAGACTTGAGAAATAAAAAAGAACTGTGTGTGTGTGGGGGGGTATTTAATATCCTCTCTGTCCAAATCTTTTTCTATCTTGTTTTGTTTTTTCACCTCTCTGGGCTTGGCATGGGCCAAGAGGTTGATGAATGGGAAGGAGGAAAAGAGACACATAAGGAAAGAAGAATTCAAGGCACAGTCTTTCAGGATTCATTAGTATGAATCTAGGGGGACACCTTCAAGAGGCTGCATACCAAGAGGTCACCTAAAGAGCCAGTGTGAACAGTAACCATGAATGACTCAAGTGCGTTTTAACACCTTTCTTCCAAATAATCACAAAAGCTTTTCATTATTTTATCACATATATTCTCACACACTGATATTTTTGTCTTTAATAATATATACCTAAACTCTGCTTTTAAAAATCACCCTCAGGTGAATAGATAGGATCAAAGTACATTATATACATGGATGAAAATGTCACAATGGACCCATTTAAAATGTACCCCAAAAAACCCAAAAACACTAAATCTGCAAAAATCCTTTGGACTTGAGGCACAGCTCAAATGGTAGAGTGCCTGCTTTGCAAGCACGAAGCCCTAAGTTCAAACTCAGTCCCACCAAGAAAACAATAACAACAAAAACTAAATCTGTAAAATGTACCCCCAAAAACCCACCCACAATTCTATGAATAAATTCCAGAATGTTTAGCAAAGTCTACAATAATTTTAATTACAATTTACTGATACCCTCATTTAAATTAGAAACAAAATACAATCATGGAGCTATTGAATGCTCAACTTAAAAATACTTAGCCACGACCAGATATGTCATAAGGACATATCTGAAATGAGGGAATGAAGATGGTTCTCTAAAAAGGACTATCATGGAAAACAAAATGATTAGCAATTGATTGCAAGGAAAAAAAAGACATGGTAAAAGATCCATATCTTTCTTCAAATTTCTGCTTGCTTAAGGGTGTTCTATTTTAGAGGATATATAGTCAAACACAGAATCATCTAAAGAGCTTGCCAAGAAAATAAAAATATTCCCAGTAGTGAGCTGGTAAGTATTAGTTATAAGAGGAAAAAAGAGAATTTTAAATAAATACCTGTTCCCTGTTTCTTTTTCAAGAGAGATGCACAGGCGGCATTGGTGGCCATGTCCAAGGCCAGCTTCTTCTCATTGTTTCTTAAATCTGTTCTTGCTCCTTCCAACATAAGAAAAGAAAATCAGGAGTTTTTGAAGACTGTACAGCAGTCAATTCTCTTTCCATCACACTAATCACTCTTGGTAAAACTAATGAGTGGACAATCCTGGCCCAGAATTAAACTTTTTGAAGACAGTGCATTTGGCATCATTCATCAGGGAGCTTGTTGCTATGCCTGTGAAAATTATGCTCCATTAAAAGAGCCTTTTCCTTCCAGTCCCAACAGGATTACATGTGGCCCTTTCAACGAGGGGCTTACCACACCTTGATAAACCCTAAATCATTACACAGACCCTGTTACATGTGCCTCAGTTTTGGGAGCTTAAGTCCTCTTGTCTCTTCTGCTCAAGAGAGTCTTTATAAAAGACTATTTGGGTTGAGTTTGAGGTAATCCTTTTTATCTGTAAGTATATAGCAAATTAGCAGAATGGCCACACAATAAAGCCCAGAAGCAATTCATTGTTCCCCAATTTATTGTTCTTTTTCTATCCACTTTTTCCTGGACTTTGTGGTAAAAATTATATCAGAATCCATTCTCTTTTGCATTGTTAAAGATTAAAAATCCCACATACTTAACAAAAACATAAGTCTTATTTTATTCCCCATGATCTACCCTCTCCAGAGGTGGCCATTCTTATCAAATAGGCTTGAGTTTTTATCCGCCTTATGTGTATCAATGCATCAACAGACATACAAACATGGAGATAAAAATAAGACTACATGGACGGGTCTGTAATTTTATTTTATTAACTTAACAATAGATAATGGTACTCTTTTCTTGGCAGTATGCATATAACTCAACATATTTAAATGTTTGTAAGTATTCCATTTGTGGCTGCCCCCAAATTTACTTAATCACTACTTCATTAATAGTCACTTAAGTTGTTTCTAATTTTCATTATCACAAATACTACAATGAACATCCTTGAACAACATCTTTGTTCACATGAATATTTAGAGGATAATTTACTAAATGGTGCTGACAGGTAAAGATAGAAATATTTTTTTAATTCTGCCACCTACTGTCAGGCTGCCTTCCAAAAAAAAAAAAAAACAAACCCTACTAATTAATGGTTTTTAATCAGAGTTTCTACCAATTTACACATTGTTTTCAACCTCTCCCCCAACTCTTTAAAAACATAGTAAGTGTCCCAGTACTTAAAGGCAAAAAAAAAAAAAATCACACCACTAATCCTATACCATGTTCTGTGTACCTTCAGCCCTGGAATTATTAATCCAAGGAGCCTAAGATATATTTCAGGACCTCCTTCTTACAACGGAGCAGATGCCTGAGAACAGACAGTGCAACCTAGACACAGGTCTGCAGGTCTGAGCTATGATCAAGGAGTGGTTGTTTGGGGGAAAAGGAACCCTCTTACACTGTTGGTGGGAATGTAAAGTAGTACAACCACTCTGGAAAAAAATTTGGAGGCTACTTAAAAAGCTGGACATCGATCTACCATTTGATCCAGCAATACCACTCTTGGGGATATACCCAAAAGACTGTTACTCCAGAGGCACCTGCACATCCATGTTTATTGCGGCACTATTCACAATAGCCAAGTTATGGAAACAGCCACCCACTTGAAAAAAATTTGGAGGCTACTTAAAAAAGCTGGACATCGATCTACCATTTGATCTCAGCAATACCACTCTTGGGATATACCCAAAAGACTGTTACTCCAGAGGCACCTGCACATCCATGTTTATTGCGGCACTATCAAATAGCAAGTTATGGAAACAGCCAAGATGCCCCACCACTGACGAATGGATTAAGAAATGTGGTATCTATACACAATGGAATTTTATGCAGCCATGAAGAAGAAGAAATGTTATCATTCGCTGGTAAATGATGGAATTGGAGAACATCATTCTGAGTGAGGTTAGCCTGGCCAAAAACCAAAAATCGTATGTTCTCCCTCATATGTGGACATTAGATCAAGGGCAAACACAACAAGGGATTGGACTATGAGCACATGATAAAAGCAGAGCACACAAGGGAGGGTGAGGATAGGTAAACCCTAAAAAATTAGCTAGCATTTGTTGCCCTTAACGCAGAGAAACTAAAGCAGATACCTTAAAGCAACTGAGGCCAATAGGAAAAGGGGAACAGGTACTAGAGAAAAGGTTAGATCAAAAAGAATTAACCTAAGGTAACACCCACGCACAGGAAATCAATGTGAGTCAATGCCCTGTATAGCTATCCTTATCTCAACCAGCAAAAACCCTTGTTCCTTCCTATTATTGCTTATACTCTCTCTACAACAAAATTAGAAATAAGGGCAAAATAGTTTCTGCTGGTATTGGAGGGGAGAGGAGGGGGGAGTGGGTGGTAAGGAGGGGTGGGGGCAGGGGAGAAATGAACCAAGCCTTGTATGCACATATGAATAATAAAAGAAAAATGAAAAAAAAAAAAAGAAGAAAAAATAATGTGCTAGGTGTTTTGGTACATGCCTGTAACCTCAGCACTGGGGAAGCTAAAGCAGGAGGACGATGAGTTCAAGGCCAGCCTATACTACATCTTAAAAAAAAAAGAAAGAAAAAGTAGAGAAGGGAAGAGAAGGAATCCCTGATGATGGTTGATTCAGGACTTGTGGCTTGAGGACTAACTCATACTGCATTATAGCCTTCAGGATGAAGGTGTGGTGTGGGATGAGATGCCTGTAAGGGTTAATTAATATTTACGGGACACATGAATGGATGAATGGTTAGCCCACAATTACAATGTTTCCTCTGAAAACAGTCATTCCCATATCTCTGGCACCTGCTCAGCATAAGGCAAGACGCTGCGGCCATAGCCTCTTCCTTGTCTGTCAAGGCTCTCTTGCCTCAGCAACGTCACCCACACAGCTTAGAGAGATCCCTCCCAAACCTGTTTACACACACTCCTTCCTTCTAAGGCCTTATACTCTTGCAGATATGCACAGTATGTTATTTTTTAAAGTAATACATGTAGTTTTAAAGCTTGTCAGGTTTTATTTATAATAAAAAAATCACATAAGCAAATCCCAATAATTTCATTTTATAATAATAGCTCTGTGATATAGACAGAATAAAGGCTAAAATCCGTTTTAAAATAAGGAGACTAAGGGCTGAGGATGTAGCTCCATGGTTGAGTGTTCGCCTAGCACGCACAAGGCTCTGGGTTCTATCCCTAATACCGCAAAAATAAGTAAATAAAAATAATAAAATAAGGAGACTATTGTTTTTCCCACGATCTCAAATGGTATAATTTGATATGGCCTATTTTTCAAGGCAAGCAAAAGCCAGATAAATTCAACACAAACTTTACCTTTTTCCAGAAGTAACTGGACAATGTCGGCATAACCCTTCCAGGCAGCAGCATGCAAAGCCGTGTCTCCCAACTTGTTCTACAGTAAGAGAGGGAAAGTGACATTTTAAAAGTAGGGAGTAGATTGACTGGAGACCTTAACTTAACTATAATATAATAGCCTAAAGTAGAACAAAACTATAGAAAATTCCAAAGACAACAGCAAAGGAAACTCAAGCAATGAGAGATGAGTCACTTTGGGGAGACAGGAAAGGTCGGAGAAACAAAACAGGTATGGTGGAGCACAAGCTGAAATGCAGGCACCTACAGAGGGAGACACCAGAGAAAGCTAACTCACTTGCACAGAAACCTAGCAAGAACTGTGAATTTGAGATTCCTGGAGACTTTGGGGTGGGAATGAGGTATGGGGTGGAAACAGGGGCACTGGCTGAAAATATACATAAGAAACAATGAGAGCCCAGGACCCTCTTGCTGCAAGACAGCCCCATAAAGATGGCAAAATTACCCTGTTGAGAAATTAAGCTGAGAGTTTCCAAGCTCATGTACAGGTACAAGAGAAGGTGACAATGAGGCCAGAAACTAAAACATTAAAAGTTAGGTGAAATACCTAAACTGAACAGCAAGTCCCCTCTCTCAGCTATTCTTACCCACCCTATGGCCCCAATGTGTGCAGTGAAGGGTATACACACAGGCAGGAGACTGCAAGATGCCTCTCAGGTGACAGTGTATACCCCCACGGTTGGGGGGGAGGCGGTATTTATGTTAGCACCTGGGTATTGTCTCATAACAACAGCTAGGAAGCCCACCAGCCAGAAAGCCCGCCAAGTGCACATACCTTCCAATCACATTTACAAATGAATGGGTATTTGAGGCAGGTCTACAGTATTTGAAGAAAAGCCCAAACAAAATAAATGGCTGCCAGAGGAAAAGATACGGCACAGTAAATAACAGAAAACACTTTTAAAAGCTATAATTAATATGTCAGAGAAATATAATGTGATAATACATAATGAAACAAGAAAAAGCTGATATTTAAAACTAACAGAGTAAACTAAGAGCTTATGGTAGACAGAATTCTCAGATGGCCACTGAGATTTCTGTCCCTTGTTATATACCCCAGAATAAATCCTCCCCTTGAGTGTAGGTGGGGCAGAGAATATAAGAGCTGTCACTCCCATAATTAGACTTCTAGATAGTAGGGACTGAGTTTACCAAAAGAGAGATTATTATGGGTTACCAGGCCTTATCAGTTGGGCCTTATTAGAAAAACAACACAAAATTAAGCAGCAGAGAGACATCTCCCATGGCCTTAAACAAGAATGAAGATAGCCATGTTGTAAGGGATCTATGGAGGAGAGAGGCCTCCAAAAGCTGAAGTCCTCAGTGCTAGAGGGGAAGGAAACTCAATCTCCCAACAACCTGAGTGAGCTTGGAAGAAGAACCCAGCTCCAGCCAATTCCTGAACTTCAACGTGTGAGACTCTGAGCAGAGAACCTTCTGATGCCCAGAATCCTAACCTACAGGAAATAATAAATGCTGCTAAGCTTTGGTAGTCTTCCACACAGCAACAGTAAGTTAAATAGGAGCTCTGGAGAATTAAAAAGAAAGCCAAAATAAAATATGATAAACGTGAAGAAACCTCTGAGAAAAACTAACAAAATGAAGGTTCAAAACAACAGGTCCAACGTCTTACTATGGGCATTCTAGAACCAAATGAACAAAGAAATAGTCAAATACTACATCAGAAATAACACAAGAAAATTTTCTAGGCTGAAAGATGTCATTACAATTACTAGGGGAAAAATAACACTGAGGCACATCCTTATAAAATTTTAGAACCTCAAAGATAAGGACCGTTAGTGAGGAAAAAAGCAGATCTTACATAAGGAATGAGAATTGCTAGAATGTGCATATGGTTACCATTTGTCTCCTAAGGGTCCCTGTGTTGGAAGCTTTGTTCCAAAGTGGAGGCAGTGGAAGGGGTGTGAAGCCTTTAAGAGGCGAGGTCTTGCTACAGTATGAACCTTACTTACCCCTTAAAGGTCCCTGTGGTAAAGATTTGGTCCCTACAGTGGCATTCTTGGGAGGTGGTGGAACCACTGGGAGGTGGGGCCAAGTGGGAACTCTTTAGGTCACTGAGGCGGAGGGGAAGGGAGAGAGTAACTTTGAAGGGAAGGGTAGAAACCAGTCTCTCCTTCTTCTTCTTCTTCTCATTCCTCTTGTAGTTTCTGGGTGATGAAGTGAGGCAGATTTGCTCATGCTCCACCATGATGCCTTGCTGTAGGCCCAAAAGCAACAGGACCAACTGATCACTGCTGAGGTTCAACTGAACCTCCAACTAAGCCAAAATAAACCTTTCCTCTTTGTAAGTTAAATATCACAGGCATTTGTTACAGTATCAGAAAGCAGTCTAACACAGATATAGTGGGAGGTCCATAAGTCAACTGAGGGCACTGCCCTTGAAAGAGACTGTGGGACCCCAATCTCTCTCTGGCTTCCCATCTGGGAATGTGCTCTGTCCCTCTCACAGGCTCCCACCATGATAATGCCATCCACCTTGAGGCTTTCACACAGAGCATGCTGACGCCAGCACCATGCCCTCGAGTCCCCTCTTTTCTTTATAAAGTAACTGGCCTCAGATATTTCACTAGAACAGAAAACTGTCTAATACGGAAATCAAAGTGACATCAAGCCTCTCAAAAGCAACGCCAGGAATGAAAATGCCATTGAGCCATGCCCTCAAAATTCTGAAGGAAATTATTTTCAACCTAGAGTTGTGATCTGACAAATGAATAATCTCAACCTCCTCTTTCTCATCTCTTTGAAGATGTTCTCTGACAATGGAAGACAAGAGATCCAGAACACTGAGAATACAATACAGCAGAGAGGGGAAGGGAAGAAGAGGTCAGGTATCTTGGACTGGAGAATGAAGATGGGGGGCTTTGGAAAGTATGAGTCCAGAAAGAAAAAAGTCACTGATTATCTTGTGCATCTTATAAAAGTATATCAGCAGAGCATAAAGCTAAACAGAAGTCAATACTTAAAACAAAAACAAAAAAAGTTACACCAGCAGTGATCATTGCATAGAGAGCAGTAATAACGTAAGCAACATATAGAAACATAACTAAATAAGACACACTGGGAGGTGCAGAAGTGGGATGGTTGGGGACTGGGGCACTAGAAAACAAGAACTGGGGCAGACGATAAGCTGAAATCTTTCCCAACCCAACAGGAAATCAAAATACCTGTGAAGATGCTGTGTGACCAGAGAGCTCCGCACACCTACTCCCCAGAAACCCGAAGGTAGGGACAAGAAGAGAGAGCTAAAGGCTGAAAGCAATATGAGGAAGAGTGGGGAAGGTATTCAGGGCTTTGTACAATTTGAATCTTAATACAATAATAATAGTTTTAAGAAACTATGTACTTAGCTGGGCACTGTGGCTCAGGCCTGTAATCCTAGCTACTCAGGAGGCAGATATCAGAAGGATCCTGGCTCAAAGCCAGTCTGGGCAAACAGTTCACGAGATCCTATCTGGAAAAAACCCTCCACAAAAAAAGGCTGGTGGAGTGGCTCAAGGTGTAGGCCCTGAGTTCAAGCCCCAGTTAAAAAAAGAAAAGAAACTATGTGCTCAATGCCAAGGATGTAGTGCAGTGATACGGTGCTTGCCTAGGCTGTGTGAGGTCCTGGGTTTAAACCCCAGTACCACAAAACGAAAAAACAAAACCAAAAATCTATATGTTTACAGTAGTTTGATTAAAAACTGTACGTGCCCACAAGCCACATGGTACCAAAGAGAGCAAGGGCAGGTGTGTTTAATGGTTTTCTCATCCTAAGCAGTCTCACCTGTTGGTTCAGTTCAATATTTGGCTGAGTAAATAGCACTTCCACTATATCTGAAATTCAAATAGAAAAGACATTTCTTAAAAATGAAAAGTAAAACCTGATATAAGTATGCACAATAATATTGAAAGAGATGATCCTTTGGGAAGATCTTTAAGAAAATTCTTAAAACAAATTTATCAAAATTTACATGCAGAAAAACTAAAGAATCTAAAAAGTACATTACAGGAAAAATTTTTTTCAAATAGTTTTGGTTTTTGCATTTTCATGTGACATCTAATACAGGAATATTTTTATATTTGCTATGATACAAGTATTCAAAAAAACTAACATGTTTATTAGCTAAAATAAGGTTTCTTTGAAGAGATAGTCACGAATTTTCCCTTGGCTATGGTACTTAATTTTTTGGACTCTGCTTTCCTCACTGTTGTTGAATTTATTTCAGGTGTTTGTAGAGAGGTGGAGAGTGGGGTGGTAGATTTTTAGCCAAGATGAAATACATGTAGAAATTCAATTTGTCATTATTACTCATTATAACAGGGCAAGGATCAATTGAATTGCAAACCCAAGACAATGTCTTTCTTCTAAATTTAACAGTTTGCATAAAGCTTAAAAAGGAATAAAAGTATATTCTGGGAAACTAAGAAGAGTCAAATCTGTGCTTTCCTTCTGTAAGATTAGCTAGTGGGTTTGTTTTCATTTTACTGTTTTTCTGGTAACCTTTAAAAGCCTGGGAGAGGAAAGGAAGTTTCCAGCCTTTCAAGTGAAAGGCCTGTGTGTGCAGTGAGACTGGCCAGCTGCATTCACCCCCTGTTCTACAAAACTCCCAGTGCAAGGCTTCTGGCTGGTGTTCTAAAGGATTCAAAAAGAGTAGCCAACACTATTTTTTTTTTTTTCATTTTTGTCAATCTGGCTCCGTTACATGACACACATTTTCAGCAGCACAGAAATTTGTAATAACAAACAAAAGGAAATACCTTTGTGACCCCCGTGAGAAGCCCAGTACAAGGCAGTGCTTCCAGCCTTGTCTAAGCCATTAACGCCCACTCGGTTGTCCAAACATTCTCTCAGCCAGCTCAAGTTGCCTGAAAGAATTTTGCATTTATAAAAACACAAGAAAGAGGCTTTTATTCTTTGTGCTGCTTTTAAATCAATTTCATCCTTCATAAATTTCTACTTGTAATGGATTAATCAGCAAGTCTTAAATTAAGACCTGTCCACCAGTGCATTTATTATGGTACATTTTGACTTCCAGTTTATTAATGGAAAGCATTTACATCAATTTTTAATGGGTGGATGGGAAGAATTGTCTAAACAGGTCTACTTAAGTTGTTTCTATTCTGTAAAAAAATATAGAGAGATAGATAGATAGATATGTTCTTTTTCTTTGTGAAATTCTGAACCTTAGTGGGAGGAGGCAAACCAGTCAAACCTAACTACAAACAGAAACATTTCTATTCATATTTAAAGAACATTTTCAATTCTTATAAGAGAAGAAATACTAAATAAGCTACTCAAAGCTACTGCTCTTATATGCTGAAGTATAACTATTAATTTAAAGTTCTCAAGCTAATACAATAAGTACCTAATTTACAAAGGATTTTTTAAATGTCAGATTAATAGTTCTAAACCCATGCTTTCCTTTTTCACATTGAGATTTTGAAAGCCCTAGAACAGAATGAACTGGAACTCACTGAGGCTTTCCCACAATGTCCCATTATCTAGAACAGGGCCTCCTGACAGCAGCACTATGGGTATTTGGGGTTGGAGAATTCTTTGATGGGGAGCCTGTTCCAGCAGCATGTTTAGCAATCCCCAGCCTCTACCCAAAAGATGCCAGAAGCATCCCTGCAGTTTCACAGTCAAGATGTCTACCTGAGAACCGCTGAGCAACAGGAGGAAAGAACACTCAGGACAATGTCCACCATTGTTTGGCCATGGCTTCTCTTCAGACTAATGGCTGCTGCTCACACCCAGACTTATTTGACCCTTCCTATATCAACACTCTCCTAAATGCAGTAGTGCCAGAACACAGCCATGTTCCTGCCCTCCAGTTCCTCACTTTGGCTATACTAAACACATTTTAATTGCTGTACTTGCCATCCCATATTTTAATGATCTAGTTACATATATGTCTCCCCTGCCTGACTCTGGCCTTTGGAAGTCTTAGACCATCTCCTTCCACTTGTCTGTTTCCACCATTGAGCACAGATAGGTAAAGAATTCAAAAGTGTTTGTCGACTAACATTTTAAAACTAAAATCACTATTACATTCTAAAGGTGACAGAGGTCAGCAGAGGTTACCTCTGGGGGAGGTAGTGATTTTCCTGGGATGGTATATGAGGGAATATTCTGGGGTGACAGAAAGGTTCTAGATATTTCCCTGGGTGGATTCATTTGTCAAAATTTGTCAGACTGTATAATTAAAATCCTTGCATTTAACTGTACTACATCCCTCATCAAAAAAATAGAAAATCACACCTACCTCTTTTTGCAGCTTCATGCAATGGATTGTCAATGGATTCTGCCTGCTCGGCCACTAGATTAATAATACAAAATGTAAACCCAGTGTTGAGAGCATATAGTAATCCAGCACCCCACAGTCCCCCAAGGTCACGAGTGTCAGGGCCTTAGACAATACAACCTTCCTTACTTAATGTGGATAAAAAAAAATAACAGAAAAATTAAACTAATAGTCCCTCCTTTAAAAGAAGCTGAATTGTGTGTTCAATGAAACCAGAAAGGCAATAACACAGCAATTAACTGGAAATACAAACAAAATCAGACAAATCTCCAACCCAGGGATTTACTCCAGTATTTAGTAAACAGACAAACTTAGTCACCAAACTGCAAAAGACAGCATCTGAGCTCCATTTTTACATTCTGCAAACTGCCCTACTTTGAACATACTTGAAAACTATCCCGAATCCCGTGTGTACACAAGTAGGAGGGAATGAGGGGGAAATATTTTCTGTGTTCAGAAAGGACAATTCGCCTTCCTACCTGTCCTATGCAAGGTGTGTCCCTGGTCCTAGAAGGACCCTTAGGAAGGCTGTGGTTCAAGTGTGACTTCAGGACCACCATGGAAGAGCTGTGACAGGACACTGCATTGGCAGAGACAGAGTACACTAAAAAGTATATTTGGGGTTTCAAATGTCACCCTGAGTACTGCCTAGGTGACCTAGATGAATTTCTACCCTGCCCTAATCTTGTTTATCTCTAAGGACAGGATGCCTGGAAGCCAAATTTCCTCTCCAGGGAGGCCCTCTGAAACTGGTTGGATCCAAGATGGCTGCCAGATCACCAGGCAACCCAGGACTTGCAATGTCATCTGCATGAGAAATGGTACCCTCTCCAGTGCCATGCCAGTTGACAATTTCTATAGCCACAACTTGACCCAAATGCCTACACAAACCCCACCATTTCCAAGAAGAACATGAATATTCCTCCTCTTTACTACCCTTTTTTTTATTGTCTATGGATAATCTCCTGATCCCTAAGGGGTGAGAAGCTGATTTTCTAGTTTATCTCCCATTTCTCCTATTCTTGGTCAAGAATACAAGTTTGCTTCACTGCTCAGTTGGTGCTCATTATTGGTTCCACAATTCCTACAGAAAAAGGAGCCAGGTGGAGCTCAGAAAAGTTGTAAGACTACTTAAAGTGGTTTTTAGGCAAAGAACCAAAAAGAGCTTGTCCTAAGACTAAGGTGAGCAGGACCCCTGTGCTGGGCTCCAGGCTTTAGTCCTCACCTCTATATACCCAGAGTGTTGAAGGACCTTCCTTGACATTTTCTAAGTCCCTCCCTGGTACTTGGGAACTTAGGCCTGATGCCGTCTCTATCAATCTAAAGATTTACATAATACTAAATTTTAAAGGGATCTCAAAAGTAATCTAAATCCAAACCTTTCATTATACAGATAGGGAAATTGAATCCCAGAGGTAGTAGTTAGGTATCTAAGGTACCTTGTTATTAAGAAATGGAAGAGCCACGGGCTGGAAGCTGTGGTTCAAGTGAGAGAGCACCTGCCAAGCAAGCATGAGGCCCTGAATTCAAATCCCAATACTGTGTGGTAGTACACTCCTATAATTCCAGTACTTGGGAGGCTGAGGCAGTAAGATCATGAGTTTGAGGCCAGCTTGGGCTACATAATGAGACACTGTCTCAAAAAAAAAAAAAAAAGTGGAAAACAACATGAAAACCCACAACACTGTTACCAGTCCTGTGCTCTTCTGATGGTACTGATTTCTACTTAACTGTTTTTGTCTGTTTTGTCCCTCCTCCAATTGGAAACAGTGTTGTGACAGAAGCTTCAACTCAATGCTGGAGCTCCTCTAACTGCTGTGATAAGCATTTAATGAACATCACTGTCCCAAAATGAACTAACAAAGTTGAGCTTCTTCATCACAAACTATAAGGCTAGTCTAAGAAACAATCTGTGAGATTTAGTTTAACAGCATTTTAAGAATGTATTAAGAGCTGAATGAAGTAAGACCATAAGTGTTTCCTTGGAAACCTTGAGTTTTCTCAAAAATGATACAATGCATTCTCTTAAGCCAGGAAGTCAGGCCCAAGCACATCTGGTGTTCATAGGCACCTAGACTGGCAATGACTCCATTGATTTCTCAGCCACAGCTGCAAGGATAAAGGCCTCAGGAACCAGATCTTGAAAATGAACATAGTGTACTAAAGGAAAGCCATGCTGACAACACTTACCATAGTTGCTTGGAATTAGCCCAGTTCTGCCTTTGCAGGTCCCTTTCCACCAGTTGGTATCGCTCTGGTGAAAGAAGGGGTAAATCAAAATGGTACTAAATCACTTTTAAAACCGCTTGGTTCCCAGGGTGTACCTGTACTACAAAGTGTACACGGGCCCTGCCCACATTTATCAAGCTCTCTCACACTCTCACTGTGAGGACCCGTTTCCCTTACCACTAAATTACAAGTATATAAGCATCAAATAGACTCCATCACAGAGCCTCAATGACCAAACAAGTCAGAGAGAATATGAAAAAGAAGGGAAAAATTACGTTAGTTTATACCACTTACAAGACTTTTTGTCCAGAGTTTAATTTCTTCTAACTTTGAGATACTTTGTGAAGGTGAAGGGATTCTAAAGATTTTTTATTTTACATTCATCTTTTGGGTAACTTTTCATTACAGAAAAAAATTCAAATCTATACAAAAGTATAAAGAATAAGATAATAAACCATTTCCCAAGTGCATGGATTATTTACTCAAGACCAATATTGTTTCGAATATACCCCACACCCTCTCCCTCTCCCCTGGGACTATTTTAAAATGAATTTTGATAGCATATTAATTTCATCTACAAATAGTTCAATATGTATCTCTGAAGATAAGGACTTTTTCAAAGATAAATGCAATACCAATATCACAGTTTAACTTTTTTTCAAAAATAATTCCCCTAACGTCATCAAATATCTAGTCAATACTCAAAATTTCTCAGTTGCCCCATAATTTGGGATCCCAAATCAGGACCATATAATATGACTGGGCTGCCTCTTTACATCTCTTTAATTTAAAGGTCCTTTTGACATTCTTTTTATCCTCTTGCAATATGTATGTTGAAGAAACCAATTTGTTTGCTCTATAAAATTTCAATCTGGATTTTGACTGTTACATACCTGTGTTATAATCAAACATGTTCCTCTGTCCCTATAAATTGGTAGCCAGTTTTAGCAGCTTAGTTAGATTCAGTTTCTAATTTTTTGGCAAGGCTATATTTCATCAGCCATATTGATTTCTCTCACAAGGAAACACATAATGTGTGTTGTCTCTGTTTCTGTAACATCAGTTAGCATTGGTGATCGTCCTCTGGATCCATTATTTCATAGAGTTATAAATGGGGACAATCTATCACTCCTTCTTCATTTAAATAACTAGAGTATCTCTTTAAAGGCAAACTTTCCCTCACCAACTCTTGGGTTACCCTGGGACAAAGTTTATAAGAAAAGGCAGAATAAATTCTGATCCTTTTCCTAAGTAAAAATTTGATTCCCTAGCATTCTCTCACACTACCAATGGTATTTGTTTTCAGGTAACATTAGGAACTCATAAATTTAAACATCATGAATGTATTTCAATCCTTGGGAGTTGTTGATCTAATTGATGTTCAAATTTTCCTCTCTTTGGCCAGGGGAAGCTGCTTCAAACTAGGTCCTACATCTTTCCAATGTGACTGAGACATTCTAGGAGTTTCTTGTGTTTAGCAACAAACTGTTCTGGCTTAATCTTGTACCTTTGCTGTCCTAGACCTAGTTCTAGACATTTTCTCAATGGAGTCTTGTTCTTTTTAATAAAATCTAACACACTATTATTGGGGGTTTTTTAGGCCCTTTCAAAGAAAAGAGCAAGAATAGACAAAATACAACATACTTCCAATTCAAATAAGGACTGTTGAGTTTCTACTTAACCTTGCTGATCTTACACCTGTGCATCCTTCCTCCCGTACTGAAAGTCAACACCACCCTGATAATGACTCATTTGACCTCAACCACAACACATATGCAACATCTCAGAATTGGTGATACCAATACTTCCCCAACCGGATCATAATCAAGTTTATTTCTTTGTTGCTGTTGTTCTTCATGTCCTGTACATGCATTCTACTAGGGATGTTTACTCAAACTGCCTAGTTTTAAAGTCACTGGGGATATGTCCTCTGTGTGGTTATGCCAACTTACAGGTCATTTGATCACCAGCTCATATACTGAGTTAAGGTCACTTGATTCCTTCTGCTTTTAATTTTTAGGGATTGCTTATTTATTACTTAATTTTATAACTATGTAAAAGCTTGAATGATTCCAAAGACAAATCTTCAAAACAAAGTGTAATTTTTAAAGTCTCTTCTGTATATTTATTTCCCTTCCTCCATGTAGAAAAATGACTCACCCTTTCATTTTTTATTTCAAATGAAGGATAAATGAAACCATACAATATGCATTTTTTTCACTAAATTACTCCATAATAGCACATTCCCACTCTTTTTTATCATTGCATACTGTTCCATTTGAGAATTATACTAACACTTATTCATATATTTTTGCTACTGATAAACCAAAGTGCTACTTTCATTTCAATCTTATGCTGCTATAAATAGTGCTAAAATCAACAGACTCCCGTATATGTATTCAATGTACATACACACTTGGATAATTTTACAATTTTATGGCTATATAAAAGTTATATTGTATATCTCTAGTACAATGGTAGTATTACAAAATGTTAGCTGGACTTACCATGTCAGTAATGTAGATAATATCACCTTCCTCAAAGTATAATTCATCTGGCTAAAAGAAAAAAGTTGGACTCCATGTGATTTTTTTCATGAATTAGAATATAATGATTTCTGTAATTATATAATTCCAAATTCTAAAGTATCCTTACAATGTTGCTTATATATTCAAATTAGCACATAAACCACATAACAAAACATTCTTGACAAATTAGTACATGAATAGAAAGCTGGATTTTTCCCATGATGAATTCCAAAGAATTTTATATTTAAGTACATATATGTATATATATACATAAAATATCAAAATAGAATGTTAATTAAAAATTTTTCTTATAGAAATTCTAAAATGTGATATATAGATTTTCCACAAAATGACAAATATAATATCTAGAATTAAAACCTTGAAAAATATCAACACCTGCTTTTTGCTTATTTTAAGAGAACCATTATCTAAACTCTTCATGTTCAGAAAGAATGAACATTTTATGTGTGTAAATCATTACCCATACTTCAGCCATTAATAAGGCTAAAGAGCTAAGATATGAAGAAGTAGCTCACAGATTACAGCAGCTGTAAGAGGTTAATTACCTACTCTATATGCACTCTGGCCTGTACTAGACAGATGTCTTATAAACTCTGAATAAAGCTAGCAATTTAATTAAACATCTTTCTCCTTCATTTGATAACAACATGATATTTTTAGTAAAAAATGACAATGACTATAAAGAGTGAATTTCAGATATTGGGAGATGCTTACATTATTAAGGCTGAGTGAAAAATGTAGGGCACAAAATTTCACATAAGATCACAATTATGCATTCAATATACTTAAAAAATCTTCCAAACATTCCATTATAAACATGTACTAGTTTAAACAATACTAGTGTACTAGTTTAAATACTAATAAATTTAAAGGTTTTGCTATTTCTCATTATGGTTACTATTCGTTACAGATAAAAATTATGTGAGTATAACAAATTACTTCACCCATTCACTTCTCCACCTATTTACCTCCTCTGAGCAGCAGACTGGGGCAAGTAAGTATGTTTCAGCACTAGTAATTTATGTTATTATTATAACTATTTCCCCCAAATATAAATGAAGACCATATCAACTACATATCATGCTTGAAACAAACAATCACAATACATAAATATTTAGACACAGATCTTTTATGTGTAAAAATTAGTAAATAATAATGATGTCTTCCAAGATGGCTGACAACTGCTTAAAGCATGTTGTATTTATACTTTGATTTACAGAGACTAGAATTCCACAGAGTAGTACAAACTAAACAAAATTACTTAAACCTATTAGACTTGATGAAATGCATTGTAATTTTATTTGAAATAAGTACTTAGGAGAAAAGAAATTAAAGGTCTCTTAGATTGTCTCCAATCTGTCTCTAAAATGTTTTGATGATGGATGACCAATATTACCATAAACACTTGATGGATATAGAAAGTGATCTGGAATCAACTATTTCCTTTAATACTTGCTGCAAACTGGATCCCTCTCAGATAGGCTTTAGAGGACCGCACACCACCACAGCATCCCAGCTGGACTCGGTGGCCAGCCCCAGAACAGGAAGGTTATCTAGACTAACAATCTGGGTGTGTGTGTGTGTGTGTGTGTGTGTGTGTGTGTGTGTGTGTGTGTGATACTGGGGATTGAACACAGGGCTTTGCACATGCAAGGTAAGTGCCCTAGCATTGAGCTATTCCCCCAGCCCCATTCACTAGCAATCGTAACACCATTTGATTTTGTCTCTCCTTTAGAAGGCACTAAGGCATGGAGTAAGTCTGCATTTCTTGGAGCTTTATAAGAATCTGATACCTTGAAGAGATCTTTCCCATCCTAGAGCTGAGCTGGGCCATTCTTATTCTGTATTTGCCATTTATGTCTTGCAAAGAATCTTCTTCAACTGGTGCCTCAGAGACTTAACGTTAAGCGGATACCTTTCCCAGTTTTAGCTTCCTTCTAACATTGCAAAAGTTCAATCAGTCTAAATTTCCACTCTTAAGAAAATCACTCACCCTTGACACCAAAAGACATTATGAAAAGTACCAAATAACTTTAAAAACACAAAGCACAATCTCACATGCATGCACACATACAATATCCCCATGATTAGTGTTTTGCATAAAATAAGAAATCAAGTTAGGAGGAATGGGAAGTAAGTGCTTCATAGGTACTAGATCCAGGGTTTTATTTTGAGGTAATGAAATGGTTTACAACTAGCCCAAGGTAGTGGTTGCCACACATTGTGACTATATTATGTGCCACTGTTTGCTTTTAAATGGTTGATATTATGTTACATGAATTTTACTTCAATTTTAAAAAAGGAATAAAGTCAAAACCAGCTAAGACTTTTAGTGTCTGTGGTTTGGTAAAGCATCTCATCAGTCCAGTCTCAGTGCTGATTCAGACTTGAATGAATGGCAGCTGTCAATAGTGATATCTGCCTCTGCCACCCATTAAGTCAGAGTGATTTTTTGTTGTTTTTTGGAGGCACTGGGGCTTGCACTCAGAGTCTCATGCTGCTTGCTAGGCAGAGGCTCTTACCACTTGAACTACTCCACAGACCTACAGAGTGTTTTTTCAACTGAGGCCACCATAGGAGTGGATTTCAGCCACATAGAAAAAGGTCTCACTATCTTTTTTATCTTGAGAAATGACAATGGGTCAGTTTATTCTCTTTTCATCAATAGCTTCCAGATCACAATGTACTACCTAAAATATCTTCTTCCAAAGAAGTGGGGTTTTTTTTGTTGTTGTTGTTGGGTTGTTGTTTTTTTTTTCTAATGTGCCTAAGGAGGTAGTCTACAAAATTCTTCAGGCTGCTGGGGGCAATACAGACAACAAGGTAATTTCATGATTTTAAAATCAAATTTTACCTATAATTTTCACATTTTCTATTAAGAAAGCACCCAGTAGGGCACTTGATGTAAACTGTTTGATGAGGATCTACTTTCAAATTCCTAGCATTGTGCTCATGGAACAGAAAATGGCGAATGGTGACTCAGTGAAGTAAGCCTCCCTATTTCCAGCTTGGTCTTGGTTTTTGGTTTTTTTTTTAACCACACCCTCCCCGCCCCCTCCCTTTCCCTCTCTACCCCTTCAATACCAGGCAGAAACTATTTTACCCTTATCTCTAATTTTGTTGAAGAGAGAGTATAAGCAATAATAGGAAGGACTGAGTGTTTTTGCTAGGTTAGATAAGGACAGCTATACAGAGTTGATATGCATTGCTTTCCTGTGCATGTGTGTTACCTTCTAAATTAATTCTTCTCAAACTAACCTTTTCTCTAGTTCCTGGTTGGTCTTGATTTTTAAGCACATTCATTTCCTCTCTCCTTGAAGAACCTTTCACAAGGTATCAGAAGAAAAAAGCTGCTGGCTGTCATAGCTACAAGTATAGACTGGATAACACATTCTCATTCCTATTCCGTATATTCTAGGTAACATATAATTCCCAAGGCATTAATTTTTTGTTGGTTCTATGCAAATAATATTTTATGGAAAGTTGGGAAAAACTGTGATATACTTTTGAGATTTTTCAGACTTGATTATCTAAAGCCCCAAAAATTAATAAAAAGGAAAAACAAATTCTCCACAAATGTTTTCATTCAACACTTTTTAGTACGGTGCCAGGCACTGATCTGGACCTTTACAAATTTGAACTAATTTATAGTACTATGAAGTGGTACTACTTTTATTGCCACATTTAAATAAGAAGCATGTCCAAGGTCACAATGCAGGTGACAGTCAGAATACAGTTCCAGCTCTTAATCCCCACCTATGCTTTCTCTCACACAGAAGCATAATGCACAGCCTTTATTTGTCAACCTGGTGTCATGATTATGTTAAAAGCTGATGGTCTTGGAAAATATCTATCATTCTTCATGCCCCCCACTTCCTGCCAATAATGCAGTGCAGTATCAGGGGAAAAAAATAAGTTCCTAGTAATGCATGCAACAAAACCAACAGCAGCTCTTTTTATTGAAAAGCATACTTGGCCTCATTTAGTTAGGCAGGGCTGGGTCATGGGTATAATCTCTATTTCACAACCAGACCTAGGGAAGTTGAAAGAATTTGCTGCAAGTCACAGAGTGAGGAACAGGGCTGGGCTCCTGCTACAGAGTTTGGATTCCTATTCTAGAGCTCCTTCCTCTACACCTGGTGCTATAAACCTCATGTAGCCCAGCAGATTCCAGCTGGTTTCCCTTCAGAGGCCAACACTCAGAAGTCCAGCACAGGGGAAATGCTGTTCCCTCCCCATCAGTATGTCTTCACACTAGTCTGTCCACTCCACACAGGTCTCTGTGTGACACTTTATCAGACTGAAGAACCAAATAGGGCTGGGTGATGTCAGGAATACCTTGCTGTTAAGCAAGACAGATGAGAAATGGGCTGGCAGGAAGAACCTGGAGCCACGGTTGCCTCGTGCTCTACCTGTTCAGTGCATCATCAGACAGGCTGGACATTACTGTCACTATCTCCTGAGGGTGGATTAGTAATTAAAAACAGGACCTGGGCCTCCTAAGGGCGTTGTACATGTTGATCCCTCAGAGTCCAACTCAATCCTTCAGTCTTGCCTGGTCCTAATGGGCTGAAGAGGGCCAGGTTGGTTTGCAACATGCTATGGCATATCTGTCTCTCCAGAGAAGATGGCCACCAGTCACAGAGAAAAAGACCATACTGAGCTTCCAGCATTGCCCAACAGAAATTCCCGTTCAGAAATAAATATAAATGAACCTAGCTCTGGGATGATATTCAAAATTTAACAACAGGTACAGCATGGGCACTTAACCACTCACGAAGGCCTGTGGGAGGTAGAGGGTACCTGTGCACCAGACCTGACCCGTCAATATCTGAATTGAGGGAAGGGAAAAAAGGGAGGAGCATAGAGCAATGGGCTTACGGTGGTCATTACTGATGACAGTCAGGAATCCTTAAAACCAGAAATATTAAAAAAACAAAAAAAACTAAACCACAGTCAGCCAAGTATGATGAGATTGGGAGGATCACTGTTCAAGGGCAACCCAAGGAGAAAGTTCAAGATTCCATCTCAGCCACCAGCTGGACACGGTGTGCACCACTCTCATCTCAGCTATACGCGCAGAAGCACAGGTACAAGATCGCAGTCCAAGAAAGCTTGGGCATGAAGTGAAATCCTATCCCCAAAATAATCAAGTGGTTCAAGTGGCAGTACAACTGCCTGGCAAGTGTGAGGCCCTGAGTTCAACCCCTCAGTGTAGCAAAAAATAACCAGCATACTTTAAATATAGAACACTTTCAAAAATTGAATGAATTAAATGTGTATTTTCTCCTGTACATTTAAATAACAACTAAGAATTTTTCAAAGCAGTGGAAAAACTCCATCCCAGAGCAGAATTGAAGGTAAATTAATCAATACATCAACCAATCAATTTTTGTTAAATGTAACAACCACTACTCCTTTGAACAGTAATAATTAGTCCTTAATGGTAACAGCAACTTTATACATAATCTCATTTAATTCCCACTATGAGATTATTATTATTTTCACTTCACAGTTGAGAACACTGAGACAGTGAGGTCAGGTAATTTCCCCAAGGCCACATAGCTGCTAAGGAGAAGGAGCAGGTCTTAAAGGCTGGCACAGTCTCTGAACTCCTGCATTCTTCTGCTTCCCCAGATTACACTGTGTGTAGGGCTGAAAAACCAAGTGTAAGTCAGAGGTGAAAGGGGAAGCCCACATCTAGGTGGAGTAGTCAGAGAAGTGTTTATGGAAGAGGAAGTAGTTCATGTGAGCTTAGAAGGGGCAATGCTGTAGGCCCAGGAAGGATTCAGAAATGGGCTCTACTATAGTCAGATCTCACCTGGATGGTCCAAGAAGGTTAGAAGGAGGGGCCGGACTATGGAAGACCATCTCTTTATTCAAATAAATATCTTTAGAGGTGGTGGACCAAAGCCACATTTCAGGAATATCAGTCTAACAGGTGGAATGGGGGAGGTAGAGTCTGCATGCTGGAAGTGAGTAAGGATATAAGGTCAGGAGGAATCAGAAGGGGAGGAGGTGTCACTGGGAAAGGACAAGGATGATGTCAACTAAAGACACTGGAGGGACAGTGGAGAAAGAACCAGGCGTCCCCTCAATCTCAAAACTAAGTAAATGTAGTTTTCATTCTAGAGTCAAGGAGGCAGGAGAGACCAGTCTCTTCAGGAGAGATGACCACCTGTCCTTCCCCACTTCTATCCAGCTCAGGGGTCATGCAACCTAAGAAACAACTGGTGGGGACAATCTGAGGTATGAAATGTTAGCCTTTCCTGCGAGCAGTGGCTAAAGACAATTCTGGGTCTCATACTTCCCTATCTGTTATGGCCTTTTGCACCCTCCTCCCCAATTCTGATGTTGAAGTCCTAACTTCTAATACATCAGATTGTGAGTATATTCAGAGTAGGGTCTTTAAGAGATAATTAAGTTAAAATGAGGTCTATAGGACAGGCCCCAGTACACTGTGACTGGTGTCCTGTAGGAAGGGAATATAACCCAGACACACACAGAGGCCATGTGAAGACACAAGAGAAGGTAACTAACTACAAGCAAGGAGAGGGGGCGCAGAAGAAATCAACCTTGCCGACATCTTGATTTAGGAATTCTAGCCTCTAAAATTCTGAGAAAATACATTTCTGTTGCTTAAGACAATCAGTCTATGACACTGTGTTATGACAGCCTCAGCAAACAGCGCCTGCTCACCCCCACCTTCTTCAACACAGGAGGTATCGCTGGAAGCTCTTGGTGAAAATATAAAATGACCACCCATCCTTTTCTTGTTCCAGAAAGTTTTTTCTGAAGTCTTGGAAGAGCTCATCTGATTATACACACACTCCTACTAGTTGTACTAGTTGTACTAATTGCTAGCATTTACTGGCACTCATCAGCTGGTGGGCTTTAAGTACTTACCTCATGCTACAACCACAGAGGGGTTCTACTGTAAAATGGCAAATAGCATTCCCATTTTCTAATGAGGAACCATGGCCTTGAGATTAAGTAAATGACAGATTTGGGGGTTTGCAGGCAGGCCCTAACTAAATGACAGTAAATCAATGCTGAGAGCCACATGCTCTGTGCCGCATCCTGCAGGGCTTCTAGGCACAGCAGGACCCAGAGCAAACCCAGATGAAGCTGGCAGCAAGCTGGCTGCCCACAAGAGAATGCTCTAATCTCTCGTGTAAGAGAGAAGAGTCAATGGTTTCTTTTTTTTTCCTTCTCCTTTGCCTCCTATCTGGACTCCCTTGCTCCACTATTACTCACTGCTATATTAAAACCCTCTAACCTCAAATTGAAATGTGCTTCAATTTGAGGGATTCTAAAACTTCACTATCTTATCACTCCCATGCTCAGAACCTTCTAATTGCTTCCCATGTTATCCATAGCAAAACGCAAATGAGATCCACAACGAACTCCTTGATCTGCCTACCCTTTCCACCTTGCCTCTCTGAACTTATATCCCATCATCCTCTTTCTCGTTCGTGGTTTTCCAGGTCACAATGTTCTCCAGTTGTTTCTAGAATCCACAAAGTTGTGGCTTGTACTTGATGTGCCCTGTCCCCTCACTGCCCCTTCAGTTGTCACCTTTATAGAAAGGCCATCCCTGGACACCCATGTTGAAAATAATACAGCCCTCCACTAACCTCTTTGCTTAGTACCCTCCTTACTTTTCTCCACAACATTTAGCCCCTGAAAGTCACATCCATTTGTGTGCTGACTGTCTGTCTCTCCCCACTGGTATGCAAGCTCCATGAGTCCTTCCCACTGTTGCTGCCCTATCCCCAAGGCCCACAGCAGTGTCTGGCACATAGCAGGCACTCACTTAACTATGGATGGATGGGTGGATTTATTGATAGACACCAGAAACCCTAACAATGGAAAAATTGTATGCGGCAGAGATATAAAAATCTGCCTCAGGAGGTTGGCCACTTTGAGGTAACTTGAGGTTGGAGGGTCAAGGGGAGAACCAGGGAAGGTTAGTGTATAAATCACAGAAAGGATGACTAAGACAGGATCACTGTGCTTTATATATAGGTCACTTGGTGACTTGAAAGCAGGCAGTGTCACTGTGAGAGGAGAAGCAGTATATGACCTTCAGACTCAGGACTTACAAATCAACAGGGGGGCTTAGCTGGCCCAACTGGGTCAGCAGTAGGAAGTGACTGAGCATTCATTCCTGTGAATTTCCTACTGTATTAAGAAAAGACAGATCAGTTAAACCAGAGGAAGAATCTAAATGAAATCACAGATTATTATGTCAATTCTAAAGTTGAAAGCTGAATACTTACAGTTCTGGGTTCAAAGGTATACAAAGCTCTAAAGACTTTAACTTGCCCTAAAAGGAAAGAAAAACATCCAATCAATTATTTCATTTCTAAGTTTGTTCTAAAATAGTATTATCCATTATCTCCTTCAGAATTTCCTAATTAAAAACTCAAGAGAGAAAGTTATTTTGAGTTAAGTGCCTTTCCACATAGGAAGTATTTTTAAAATATTTGTTAAATGAATGCAAGAATAAACACACACCTCATGGGATGACTTTGCTTGTTCCTAACAGTAGGAGTTACCTAATTAGTTGTATTTAGTTTCTGTTTTATGTAGAATGGACCCGTCTACCATAAGCATCTAAGTTTAAAAATATAAAAGTAAGCATCTTAACAACAACAAAGATACTTGACATGACAATCTATACCAGTTTAAAATTCTTAAATCCATCAGCACCTTACATTTGCCTTAAAAAAATACCATGGAGGAAAATGAAAGAGAAAAATAAAACATGCAGGAGAAACCCATGACTCCATTAAATCCAAAACAGAAAGAGGGTGCAATGACCAAGCACAGAGGACTGTAGGAGTGCTGCCTTTCATTCTACCAAGCAATCCCTCTCTTTCTATGCCTGTCTGCCACATTTCCTGAACACTCTTTGTCATAACCCACTCATCTGCTGGCCCATCCCATCAGAGGATAAGAACCCCAACTTGTTCATTTTCCCAGCACTTACTGGGCACTCAGGATAAACACACATTTGCTAAACATAAATACAAACTCAAACATATATGTGTAGGTCATATAGGACCTACACATACAAAAAAGAAGGGGTCTTTCATGAAACTGATTTGGAAAACATCAAAATAGAGGGACAATTGAAAAGGTGGTAACAGTTCCATTTGTGCCTTGGAAGGCCCTTTAGAGATGACATCTGAAACAAGACCATCAAACAGGACATTAGCCTCCACAGTGGGATACACGACACCTATTTCAGAAATGATTTCCATCTTACTTTTTATGCTAATTTGAGCATATTTTATACTACCAGAGAATAATGTAATACACATATGTATAAATACATATGCATTTATTAAGAGTGAGTACTCAAACTGTAAGCATTGGGAGGACAGGCATTTTTGTTGGTTGATGAATGAGACCTCCAAGTCCACGTAGCACAGAACCTGGACATAATAGAAATGCAATTATTTGATGAATAAGTAAAATATGGATGAATAAAGAATAAAGAAAGAAATAAAAGTATGCCTGAAAACAATATGAAAACTAGTAGTTTAGAAAAAGTGTCCAATATAACTTCACAAAATGATGGATAACTCTGTTAATCATATGTAGCTATATGAAATGTGGCTTGTTGACTAAGGAACTAGAATTTTTTCTCATTACTGGCTTGCTAGGCAAGCACTCTACCACTTGAGCCATGCCCTAAGCCCTTTTGCTTTTGTTTTTCAGATAGCATCTGACTCAGATCCCCTGTAACTTGGGATGCCTACCAGAAAACACTCCTTCTGCAATCTGAATTCTAGTGCCATATCTCTCTGGTTCTACCATGCAGGGCAGGTGATAGGGAGGAGGGAAGTTTCACAGGCTGAAAAAAAGGTGCTTTTTGGAGGGAGGAGGTTTGGATATTTTTTTATCCACACCACAACCCATCTGGAGAAAGAAAACATCAAAAGGAAGGAGGAGCCGCCAGGAGAAATATTTTCTGCTGACTCCATTGTCTCTCTGCCAGGAGAGATTAGTTATCATGATTGCTTCGAACTTTCCAAAGAGAAGTCAAACAAGGCAGCAGTCCATGTGTGACCAAAATCAATAGTGATGCAACTTCCTAGATCCTTGAGGAAATGACAATGATGAGCTGTGTGGCTAATTTTGCAAAGGAGATTCAATGTCAACTTAATGCTTAGGTAAAATCAATAAAAATTAAAGAACCGAAAACAAACACATGATGTGTGACTAAACCTTATTTTCATAACTACGTTTCTTGTGACAATCTTACTTAATGTTCATGATGAAAAGCAAGTGGGAAATTTACTTGTATTTCAATTTATACTAAACATTGAACAGCAGGAAGTTCCTTGGGCTACAGGAACATTCTGTTTGTAGAAATACTGTAGAAAATACTTTCACATACGTGGTCCTTTTTATTGCTCAATATTGGGAATGTAGCCTTTTATAGATCCCTTTTAATCAATGTGCTATTCACATTCAGGGCCTTAATTTCTTCCATTTTCAAAACTGAGTTAACTAGAAATGAAAGAATACAATAGAAACAGCCAGAGGATATGAAAGAAACAGAAGAAAGAAAACACAAAAAGGAATAACATGCATTATAAAAAGATCTTGATAAAAAGTATCAAAAAGAAAAATAGAAGACTTTCATGATTATGGCTGAACAGCCCTGGATATTCTCCAGTAATTAGCAATACTTCATTTACTGATCACTTTACATCATATATATTTCTACTTTGAGCAATGTTCTGTAGGTCTACAGGTTTACAGAAAATGTCAAGGGGAAGAAATCAGGGAGCTCTGTGTGTCTATATTATCTTCCTGGCAGATATCTGAAAAATAACAGGGAACCTAATAGGTCATCAGCACAGGACTGATTCATTCCAAATTTATTTAAATATAAAGAAGTTGTGCTGTTATACATGCAGAGACTAAATGAGATGCTTTCTTAGGGCTTTCTCAGCTTGGTCATTTTCTCACCCAAGTTTGGTTATCTAGAACAAAGAGAGAACAGGGAGCAGAGAAGACTGTGGGAATGAACTGAAATCACCCTGGAAAGAAGCCCAACCTTTTGTCTGATGCTTCAGGTGAATCTTGCATGAATCAGCAGCATGTGAACAGTACAGTAGGAAGGATTTAAGCAGGGGTAGACTCTAGACATAACAAGGGAAGCAAATTCCCACGACAGCAACAGCAGGTAGCTGCTGCCTCCTTTCCACCCTCAGCCCTTGCCTTTTCTCTCCAACCCCACTTGGCCCCTAAAAAGGAGTCTACTTTCATCAGCCAACACAGTATTTTTCTCTGGAGCAGGGCTGGCTCCAGACTCCAATAAATTTTTGATCATTGCATCGAGGCAGGGTAAAAGTGGAGGGAGGGGATCTGGGACAAGGTCTTTCACAGGCAAAGGGTAGGAGAAATTTCTGCTTCAGGGGTATGTGTTAGTATACCTCGGAGGCCCAAAACAGCATGTAGATGACCAATGCAGAATTTCTAATCTGCTTTATTCTCTATTGTTGGAGGGGTGGAGAAGCTTCTAGAGAACCACAAGGACAGCTCATTATATGGGGACAGACATACAATAAACTACCCGAGGAATGAGAACTCAAATTACCACACCACAGCTACTTGTATAATTAGATTGACTGCTTCACTGATTTTCTCCTTCCAAATGTTAGGAAGCAGCCAGGCATGGTGGTACATGTCTGTAATCCCAGTACTCCAGAGGCAAGAGGATCTGAGTTTGATGCCAGCCTGGTCTACACAGCAAAATAAATAAATAAATACAAATGCTGGGAAGCATGAGCTATTTTAGATGGACTTCATTTACATTGGCTGTGATTAACTATATATACATACTATGGTGACTAGAATGAAAAATGCTTTGCAATGAGATAAACTATGTTATATCCAGACAATAGAATACTATTAGCACTATAAAGAAATGAGTTAACAAGCCTGGGAAAAAGTGGAGACGACTTCAACATGCAGTGTTAAGTGAAAGAAATTAATCTGAAAAGGTTACATACTGTATGGTTCCAACTAAATGACATTCTAGAAAAGGCAAAACTATGATAAAGGATCAGTGGGTGCCTGGGGTTGGAGGGAGGGATGAATAGGTGGAGCACTGAGGAATTTTAGGGCAATGAAACAACTTTGTATGATATGATAGTGGTGGATACATGCCATTAAACATTAGTCCAAACCCATGGACTGTTCAAGAGTGAACCTTATTGTAAAGTACGGGTGACAATGATGTGTCAGTTACTGATTGTAACAAATGTGCCACTGGTGGGGAGAGGTGTGTGGGAGCTCTCTATACCTTCTACTCTGTTTGCTGTGAACTTAAAACTGCTCTAAAAAATAAAGTTTAAACTTAAGTTTTGGATTTCAGAAAGAGCACTTAGGATTTTGGGTTTTCAGGATAGGAGCGTTCAGTCAAATACAATCTATGCAATATTCCAAAATCTGAAAAGCTCTGAAATCTGACATACTTCTAGTTCCAAGCATTTCTGATAAGGGACACTCAACCTGTAATAAAAAAAATAGTACTGATAATGCTAAATGTTAATAAAGATATAGGACAACTGGAATTCTCAGACTGCTAGTGGGAGCATAAACTTAGCACAGCTACTACAGAAAATTGTTCAGCAGTAGTATTAATTCACTTTTCACAAGTCTAACATACTTTTGAGATTTCCATTGCATTTTTCAGAAAAGAACACAACTAGAAACCTTACCCAGCATCTTTTTCTTAAATTTTTTATTTATTCATTATACAGGGGTGACTCATTATAACAATTTCCAATAGCCTTACATTGTACATTGGTTAGATAGCCCCCACCATCTCTCCCCTCACCTTCATCTCCTCTATTCATGCTCTCCCCCCTCACACTGTACGTATTTTCCAGCTCTGTCTTCTGTTATTAATTCCTAAGTCAATGTCCAAAAAACATGGAACTCTTCATGAATTTGCATGCTTCTCTGTATTGTTCCAATTTTAGTATATGTGCTGCTGAAGCAAGCACCCCCAGCATCTTTTTCAGAACCAAACTGCCACATACTAAATAACCCTTCCTCAACTGTCTCACTATTCCTAGAAAACAGTGAATCTTGCATCTATAAGTGCAGGTTGTGACCCATTAGTAGACTGTGAAACTGATTTTTTATTTAATTAAATAGGACAGGAAAAACCAGAGCACACTGTGGTTAGTAGAAGCAATTATGATTTTGTGAAAATTTTGTTTCATTGGGAAAGGACAAATGGATGAATAAATGGATATTTATTTTAGAAATTTATCAAATATACATTTTGGCATACTC